CAGGGCCCTCACAAAACCCTTACAACACGAAGGGACGAAGGGAGACGACATACGACAAACCTCTATCATCTAGATGCTCCCCAAACCCTACAAGCAAGAAGAAAGGGGACATACGACAAACCTCCAGGGCCCTCACAGAACCCTTACAATAGGAAGGAGTGAAGGGAGGCGACACACTACAAACCTTTAGGCCCCTACCAAATCACAGGATCACGAAGCGGGGGTGTCATCTGACAAACCTCCAGGCCAATCACTAGCCCCTCATAATACGAGCACGGAAGCACATGATATGTGATTATCATCTACACACTCCCCAGACCCTACAAGCACGAACAAAGGGGACATACGACAAACCTCCAGGACCCTCCCAAAACCCTTACAACACGAAGGGACGAAGGGAGGGGACACACGACAAACCTTTAGCCCCCTACCAAATCACAGGAACACGAAGCGGGGGGACATACGACAAACCTCTAGGGCAGGCACTAGCCCTCATAATACGAGCACGGAAACACATCATATATGATAATCATTTTGATGCTCCCCCAAAACCTATAAGAACGAGAAAGGGGAAGCACACAAACCTCCAAAGCCCTTACAAAACCCTTACAACACGAAGGGACGAAGGGAGGGGACCCTACCAAGTCACAGGAAACACGAAGCGAGGGTGCTTGCCTAAGTCTGGCTGTTGGCCGGCTGGATCTACATTTACTGCTACTACTACTACTGCTACTACTACTACTACTACTACTACTACTCCTACTACTACTACTACTACTCCTACTACTCCTACTACTACCACTACTACTTTCAAGAAGTTTTGTAAATAGTAAACAAAGGGGCGTGCCAAATTGACCCTAAAGGTCCATGCCACATATATATATATACAGAATCTGTAGTAGACGAAGATTAAGGGGCCCTTCTGGAGTTTCTTCCTAAAACCCCTGAATTTAAGAAGCCCAATCCCCAAACCTACTGTTATTGTAGGCTCTTAATTCATAAGATTGCTAGGTAACCGACAAAAGTAGGTTTGGGGTTCTTTAGGCAATCCCTAAGCATGTGCAGCTGTGCAGGTGTGGCTCCTCCTACGCAAGTGCGAACGGTTGCGTCCGACACAAGGACGGAGGGTTTAGGGTTTAGGGTTCAGCGTTTAGGGTTGAGGGTTTAGGGCTTAGGGCTTAGGGGCCCAAAACAGTGTGCTTCAAACCTTCCACCATGAACTCTCAACCCTAAACCCTACAAACCCAACTTAAGCCCCAAACCTGAAACCCTAATCCATAAACCCACAGATTTGGGATGCTCCCCCTTACGCTAACAGTCCTCATGAGGATTATAGTACTGTACCCCCTATTGGAATCCACATGACAGACTGTGCTAGTATAAGGGGGAACATCCCAACCCTAAACCCCAAACCCTAAATCCTAAGCCCCAAACCCTTAACCCTTAACCCTAAACCCTAAACCCGAAACCCTCCAACACTCAACTTCTCAACCACTTTGCAGGTCCCCGACCTGGCGGGCAACGAGGCCGCGCTGCGCGCCGCCGCGTCTGGTCGCCGAGATGCTCTGAGTTTTGGGCGTGTTTAGGGGTTTGGGGGTTAGGGGTTTAGGGTTTATAGGGTTTAGGGGTTTAGGGGTTTAGGGGTTTCGGGGTTTAGGGGTTTAGGGGTTTAGGGGTTTAGGGGTTTAGGGGTTTAGGGGTTTAGGGGTTTAGGGTTTAGGGTTCAGGGTTTAGGGTTTAGGGTTTAGTCGGTTTGAGATGTTCATAGGGGTGCTGGGGGAACTCTAAGAGACCATATGAAGTGCAACTACCCTTAGTCATACGTCTAGATGCTTTGCTCGGGTGCGGCTTTATGCGCAGGGTACTCATAACCCCAATCATAACTGCACTTATAAGCCCCCTAAGTCCCCTAAGTAGGTCTGGCTTGGGCCGTTGGGCTTCGTGGCTTTGGGGGTCTTGCGTGGGCCATAGGCTTTTTCGGGTTTGGCGTTGGATTTTCGGGCCTTTTACAGCTTCTAGGTCTTGGGGCTTAAGAGCTCTATAAACCCTAAATCGTCAAGCCTAAAGGCTTTGGAAACAGTTTCAGCCTGTTTTGGGTTATAGGGCTCTTGAAGTTCCGAGAACAGGAACCCCCCCCCCCGCCCCAAAAGACAAAAACAACTTTGCAAAGCTAACGAAGGCCCCGTAAATCCGAACAAAACAAACAAATCCTCTGAACGCCCCACAACCAGGCCTCCAAGCCATTCCGCATCCCTGCCTGGATCCGAAACCCAAACCCTAAAGGGTCTAGGGTGTCGGGTTTAGGGTTTATAAGGGTTTAGGGTTTAAACAACCCTGCTCAGGTCCCGGAGCCCTTCTGCACGGGCCCCGGTGCAGACAGGTCGAGCTTTTTTTCCCGGGGCATGTGCACAACGCCAGGCTTTTGTTGGATGGTTTGTATGGTGTTTCTTCAGGGTTCTGGAGTTCCAACATGCCGGAAGCAAAGCCGCAAAGGTCTCAAGAAGCCCGAAGGCACAGCCACCCTACATACTTAGGAGCTGTGTGAGCACACTCTACACATTTTGGGATACTATAATCCCCTAAACAACTGAAAGGGTACATTTTTTTGGGGGCTTATGAACTCAGCAACTAAGTTAAGTATACACCCTAAAAAACCCAGAAGAGCTCAGGCGAAGCGAGGAGATCGCTTGTGGTCGCCTCAGTGTCCTAGTGCTGCGCCTCTGGCCCGTCCGTTTCGGGGCAGCGTCCCTGAACATGAGATAAGCTGTATTCTATGTAGGCCCTTGGGTGTAGGCCCTTGGGATATTGGTATGCTTTCCCTTCTTGGGTTTGAGAGGAGTATATTCAGAGGGCTTTGATAGGGCCATCCTACTCTTCATTGGACCCGATTACTGGCACGATTTGTCTTCAACATGTAAGAAGCAGCGATGGTGCAGGTGAATTTAATTTAGCAACGGGTTTTGAAAAGTTGCAGGCTACAAATTCAACTACCGAGTAATGGATGGACGAGTTGGGTCATTTTTAGACATAGCGCACTCACACGCTGATGTATCTGGTAGTTGATACATAATCACGAGCATGATCGTTTTTGAGAGGAAGCAATGCTTGTACTGACTGTTCAAAGAGGCGCGGATGTTTATGGTAAATTTCCGGATGTTTATGGTAAATTTCCTACTGGTGCAACCAATAAGGGACTGCAGACAGCAGGGCTGCGTTGGGCTTCGCTAGTGTGAGGCTACCGAAGCACATCATTGTAGGCGGGGGGCGTGGAGTAGGGGAGGGGGGGGGGGGTCTCTTGACCCCGCGTCTCCTTCACCCCGCAGGTTTAGGGTTTATAGGGTTTAGCTATTAGGGCCCAACACCTGGCAAAGAAAGCTTGAACCGAAGGTTAAGGTAGAGGTCCCTGTAGAGCGTCGGCCTAGGGGACCCTAGCTAAGCTCGCAGCTGAACGGAGCACGACTGCAGGCATTTTGCAGTCTCAGGTTCGTCTCGGCGTGTTTTGCACAGAGGGTCCAGACATGGTTTCCATGGCCATCGCGCGCGGCCTCTATGCTGCACTCTTGGTGGCATCCGCCTCCGCCCAGACAAGCTTCACCAAGGTCAAGGCAGAATCGCAGACTTGATGTGTTCCTCAGTGCCCGATGCCTCTCTTTGTTTTTTTTGATCCTTCATGAGCCCTCCCCCCCCCCCCTTTGTTGCTGATTGTTGTTGATTGTTGTTGAGCTGCTGGGGCCTCTGCTGCGGCGGCTGCCTCTGCTGGCGTTTGTTTTGTGTCGTTTTGTGTTGCTGCTGTGTCTTTGTTGTTTGTTGTTCGTCGTCGCCATCGTTGTCGGCGGTGGTGCTTGCTGGTAAAGTAATCAAATTGTCGAGCCGTGTTGCCGCTGATGGGCCCTGCTGCTTCCGTAGCTGAAGCTGGGTTCCTTTCCCAACGTAGGCCAAACGCCTCTAGAGTGAAGCCTGAAACCCTGAAACCCTAAACCCCCAAAACGTTAAAACCCCTAAAAGCATAAACACCCTAATCTCAGCCTCAGCAGCAGCATGCTACAATAGGGATTCTAGTATATACCTCCTATTAGAATCCCCATTAAGGACTGTCAGTACAAGGGAGAACAACCCTAAACCCGAAAGCCTAAACCCTTTAAACCCTAAACCCTAAACCCTAAACCCCGCTACTGCTCTACGATTTGTGCAGGCGCAGCTCGAGGCCAACATCACTCTGCGACTGGCCTTCTGTTCATTTGTTTTTTCGCTTGTTTCGCTGTCGATGAAGGCTGTAGGGCTTGTAGGGTTTAGGGCCTACGGTTTCGGGTTTAGGGTTGCGGGTTTAGGGTTAGGCTTAGGGTTTAGGGTTTAGGTGGTCCAGGATTCTAGCATGGGGGAACTCCTAGATTGTGTGCGACAGAGGCATAAGATGCAGAAGAACTGATGGCTCCCGTAACCCTAAAGCTCAAACCCTAAACCGTGAACGCAAGTGGCAGAGATCTCGCGACCCTCAACCCCAAGCCCACAGGGCATGAACCCCAAAACCCCAACAAAAGCCCGGAACCCCTTAAACCTAAACCCCAGTCCTCTTCATCCTACCCAGAGGGTCCAGTTGTAGTGCTATTATGGAATTAAGTACCCCAAAACCCTGTTTAGTATGGTTTTGGGGTACCTAATTCCATAATGGCAATACAAATGGACCCTCTGGGCTAGAAACCCTAAAGTCTGCCTCCAAGGACCCCTGACAGCGCCTGGCACCTCGGTGGGTTCTGCTTCGGCCACTTGGCAGAGCTTTTCCATCTGTGCTGAAGGTTTAGGGTTTAGGGTTCAGGGTTCAGGGTTTTAAGGGGTTAGGGTGGGGACTAGGACCCAAAGTAGGCCCCCAGTGGTTTTTTTTGGGGTTGGGGTAAGCCCCTTTGCACCATCAATGGGCACCCCGTTGATTCCTAGGTTAATCTGGCTTGAGAAGCACACACACACACACTTCTTGTTGTAACGGATGGCCATCAGTCTTGTACATGTGCGCGCAGATAGTACAAGAGGAGCAGGCGGAGCCGGAGGAGGAGGAGGTTGACGTGGGACAGGGACGAACCATGTGTGCTTCCTAGCCAGTGGTAAGGTTTAGGGAGGTTTAGGGTTTGTCAGGCTTAGGGTCTAGGGTTACATCACGCGGCTCCAACGTCTAAGTAAAGAGGGGTTATGTGGCCGCGCGCACGCCCGGGCGGCGCGCTCTGAGGACCATGGGCTTTTTGCCCGCTCGCATGTTGCAGCAAGATGCGCTCTCGCCTAGGCGCGGGGGTGGTCCTCGAAGCGGTCGTCGATATTGGACCTCGGGGCTCACGAAATGCGGCAACGCTCATCGCTTTTGGACTTCTTGGCTCGCGAAATGCGACCTGTCGCTTTGGACGTCAGGCGCGTAAAATGCGAAGCTTCGTCTCGTGTGTTCTCTCACTGTTTGGGGTCTAATTACGGGCGAAGGGGTTTAGGGTTTGGGGTTTAGGGTTTAGGGTTTAGGGTTTAGGGTTTACCAGGCCGGTTTCACCAGAGAAGGGCGAAGCACAGCGGAGGTCAAGCCTCCGGGGACACGACGAAGGCCGCTGAGATCAGGGTCCACGTGACATGGGCAGCCTGGCTCCAAGGTCCGTTTGGCCTCGAGAATAGAAGACGGGCTCTGCGTTTTGGGTATTGGTTTGGGGTTTAGGGTTTAGGGTTTAGGGTGGTTTTGGAGATTTGGAACCCGTGGTTTCTGGCCCTGGCTTAGCGGCTAAGCTCGATGAAGCCGTAAGTAGAGCTCCAGGCATGAGATCTCAACGAAGGATTGCAGGCTTACAGGTGCAGGGCGGCCGAAGTATGTGATGTCCAAGCTCCCTAAGCCCTAAACCCGAAACCCCAAACCCTAAACCCTAAGCAGCCGTAAGAATGGCGCCATTTGGCCACAACGTAGGGTTAAACGTTCTGAGCTTGATCGTCTGCAGCTGACTTTGTTTGCTGTGCTGGTTCGCTGCCTCTCCTTCGTTGAATGTGATCCTCCTACGTTGCTGCCGCGCGAACACCGCACCAAGCATTTTAAACATCAGCTACCCAGACTAGGGGGGGGGGCGGGGTTCCAAAAAGTAGAGCCCTCAAAAAGTAGCCTCTGCTATTATTGGGTCATCCGTGGGAACCCTTAAGGGGATCTATTTTTTGGGTTTAAGGGGTCTAACCGTAAACCCCAAGCCCTAAACCCTAAACCTTAAACCCTAAACCCTAAACCCTAAACCTTATACCCTCAACCCTAAGCCCTAAACCCTAAACCCTCTGGGTAGCGAAAGCCAAGGGAGGAGAGAAGAGGTTGGACGAGATTGGGCCGGTGAAGCTGGTGGCATTCGATGCCCGAGAGCAGAAGTGGGGTGCTGTGAGGGACACCTGGGGGAGCCTTGGCCCAAAGGGTTTAGGGTTTAGGGTTAAGTTGTAGGGTTTGAAGAGGAAACGTCGGGTACTTGAGGCCCTTTCAAAGCCTAACCCCAAAAGTTACGCCCCAGGTCCTTTCGCCCAAGAACTTGCCTGTTCCTCCTCAACAGGGTTCGGGAACAATCGGGCCCCTGTCACAATGCAGTGCTGTCCCCCGGAATCAGTCTCAACATCCGTGAGCCCGAAGAAACAAAGTTGAATCGATGACTAACCCTAAACCCTAAACCCCAAACCCTAAACCCTAAACCCCAAACCCTAAACCCTCTTGAATCACCCGGAGCTCTGCCCCCTTCTGCAGCCGGCAGCTACCAAGGCGCGAGGCCTGCGAGGACAAGCTGGACTCGGCCAACATGGCGCGCGTCCTCAACGAGACCAAGGTCAAGTTCAACTTCCGCGTCAAAGTCCACCAGACATTGGGCGGCCCTTTAGGGTTTAGGGTTCAGGGTTTAGGGTTTCGGGTTTCGGGTTTAGGGTTTAGGGTTTAGGGTTTAGGTTTAGGGTTTAGGCCTAGGACTTAGGACCCAGAGTAGGCCCTTTTTAATTCCCCTTTTTCGTTTAGCCTTCTCCGCCCCGTTGAAGCCAGAAAGGGTACCCTTTTTCTTCCTAGGTTTGGGTCGAGAGGCTTTTGAGGGAACTGATGCTCGTAGTCCGATTCACTGTTTTGGCGGGGGGGGGGGGGGGGGGGGGGCCATTGGCATCGACGAGCCTAAGGCGTGTTAACAAGCAGACAATATGTAAGCAAACTGCTCTGAGGGTCTAGAGTCTAGCTTAAGGCGGAAAGCTCAGGACCAGCGCTGCTCGCGACTGGCACTTCGCGCTCTTGACATGTGGGGACGTGGAACAGGCGCCCCTCTTGGTGACCTTGGAAGCAACCAAGGGCGCGTTGAACATGTTTGCGGCCAACTCCAACTTTGACTCCACCAGCTGTCCGGTGCCACAGCTGCCTTGGTTTGCCGTGGCGCGCGACGACGCAGGGTTCTGGGTCCTCCTGGTGCTGGCCCTGTTTACGGGTTGCAGCTCGGTCCTGGCAGTTGTCCTGTGCCGCCACTTCCGCGCCAAGGGACGCAAGGGCGAGGCGAGCAGCCTGCATGACCTCACGACGCTGCATGACCTCCCGCCGCCGGCGCTCAGTGGCGCGCAGGCCGTCATCGGCAGGCCGTGCGCACCGACCACCGAGGAGACTCCTCTCTGAGCCTCAATTGGGATCATCCCTGGGGCCTTAGATTATATTATGATTATATATATATATACACATGTATATATATAGAGAGAGTATATCGAGTATAGAGTAGATTATGAAGCATCACTGGTTTCAGATTCTGTGTTATGGACGAGATTTTGTGTGGTTGCAAAATGTGCCTTATGTATTCTGTTACTCGTAGTATACTCTACTGTACCTATATGTACATATTATATACATATATATATGTATATAATATGTATCTATACATACCCGCATGAATGCTTTGATGGACTGGGAAGCACGCACAGGAGAAGATCGTGGCCGGCCAGGTCAGTGCCAACCCTCAACAAGACTCGAGCGAGACGGCACCTGAGCGGAGCTCGACGGAAACTCCGGAGAGCTGTGTATAGATCCATTCAGATTCTTTATTCGGCAGAGAGCAGAACTGCCCAACACTTCAACTGTACTATGACCTGTTTATATGTGCAACCGCCAAAACTTAGGAACAGTAACCCATGCCCTGCAGTACCACCATGTGAAAGCTTACTGGAGTGTGTTGGAACCCTCCCCTCCACAGTGATTTTCACGGCCCATCTATCCACGGCATAGGGGTTTCCAAGAAGTTCTGGTGAGCACTTCCTTTCGAGAGACGGGTCAGCTGACGTTCAGGATCTTGGTGGTAGGCACCCAGCCAGGGTTTAGGGCTTTATGAGGTTGAGGGTGTAGGGTTCAGGGTTTAGGGTTTAGGGTTGCGACATATGTAGACTCTAGACATCTGCTGACTTTTCGGCTGACCTGGAGCCTAAGGCCGCGCGAAGCGCGTTCCCTAAGGCTTCTCCTGTAGCGCATGTTATCCAACAGTCGACCTGTTTAAAGGGTTCCATTCTTTTACAGGCGGCGTGTGGTTTTTTTCTGCCCAGGCCGCTGCCCGCCCCAGAAGTGCAAATCGTAGATCCCAACAACGAGGAGGTGCGTGCCTCCAAGACCCACCATACCATTCTGATCATCTTTTCAGCCCGATAAAAAAAGCAGCGTCGCAAAGTGGCCCTTGGGAGATCTTGGCTGTCAAAGAATACGGCGCCTCTGCATCTCCGTCCCCTCCTGACTAACCTCCGAAAATCCCGAAAACCGCCCAATCGCCCCCCCTGCCTTCCCCCCGCCCCACCCCACCCCGGGAGCTGCGGGGCTTCACCACGCATCTATAGTAACTGACCCGACTCCTGGCGCGATTTGTCTTCAACTCGCACGAACGGATTTTACATGAACTGGCGCAGTCGAAAGTAATCAGGCTGTTGACAGCATGGTGATACCGTGGGCGAAGCAGATGTTATTTGTTGGGTTTGGCCGTCGTCCACACACCGTCTAAGATGTATGTAAGAAGCGGCGACGGTTTAGGTGAGTTAATTGTAAACGCTTGCGCGCGCCGCCTCGGCAGCCGGGCCGGCCAGGACAGGAAAGGAGGAAAGAGGGTTTCGCAAAAAAAGGAGGCATCGGTTTGCAGCTCCTCCAAGCGATTGGGGGGGGGTCCCACAGGGCGGGGGGGAAGGGCTGGGTTTGGGGGAAGGAGAACCGATCGGGTCTGCTTGTTCCAGACGCTTCTCGGCAGGAAGCCGAGGCGAAAGTAGCGACGGGTTTGGAACAGTAGCAGGCCGTAAAAATACACGAACCGAGTACTGGCTGAACAAGTTTCCTTTGTCACTCGCACTGATGTATCTGGTAGTCAAAGAGTTTTGATAAAGTTTCGGTCATGATCGTTTATGAGAGGAAGTAATGCTTTTACTGACCGTAGGGCTTTATTCCCTGCCGCTAGTCTGAGGCTGCCGGAGCATCTTATAGTAGGCAGGGTGGTGGAGTCGGGGTTTCATATGGAGGGCATGGAATATCAGGCGTAGTTGAGCCCTAAACTCCTTAAAGCCCTAGACCCTATAGACCCCCCTGTTTTTGGGGAGGGCGGCGACAAAGGAATCTTGAACTAAAGTTGAACTGAAGGCCAAGGGAGAGGTTCCTTTAGAGGGCCGGCTTAGTGAGGAGAACATTTTGCCCCTGCAGGCATTTTTGCAGATCTCAGGTTCGTCTCGGCGTGTTTTTCACAGGAGGTCCAGACATGGTTTCCATGGCCATCGCGCGCGGCCTCTATGCTGCACTCCTGGTGGCATCCGCCTCCGCCCAGACAAGCTTCACCAAGGTCAAGGCGGAATCGCAGAGTTGCTTTGTTCCTCAGTGCCCGATGCCTCTCTTTGCTTTTTTGATCCTTCAAGAGCCCCCCCCCCCCCCCCCCCCGTTTGTTGTTGAAGCTTGTGTATTGTTGTTTCTTGTTCTTTGTTGCGGTCGATTGTTGCCGGTTGTTGTGGGTTGTTGTTTGTTGCTGCGTGCTGCGGTGTGTTGCTGTTTGTTGTTGTCTGTTGTTGTTTGGCGTTCCTCTCGCTGCGTGTTGAAGGTGTGAACCCTAAGGCCCGTAAACCCTAAACCCTTTAAAACCCAGCACCCCTAAAACCCGAGAACCCCAAACCCTCATCTCAGCCTCAGCGACAGCACGCTACTTTGGGATGTTTGCCCCCTAATACTAGCAGTCCCTAATCGGGATTTTGGTACCCCTAAACCCTAAACCCTAAACCCTAAACCCTAAACCCTATTAGAATCCCGATTTGTGCAGGCGCAGCTGGAGGCCAACATCACTCTGCGACTGGCCTTCTGTTCATGTTTTCGCTCGTGCTGAAGGCTGTAGCGCTTATAGGGTTTGGGGTTGAGGGTTTGGGGTTGAGGGTTTAGGGTTTAGGGCTTAGAGGGTGTACATAAGTTGGGGGACAGGGGCATGAGCTGGAGAAGAACTGATGGATGGGCCGGATAAGCAACACAACCCTAAACCCTCAACCTAAATCCCAAAACCCTGAACACAACTGGCAGAGTTTACTTTGAACAACGATTTCGCGACCTTCAACCCCAAGCCCGGAGCCCCTGAGCTGAACCCCGCAACCCCTCCCCTAAACCTCAAACCCCTTTCATCCTATAAGCCCTAAACCCCGAAACCCCTTAATCCTATAAGCCCTAAACCCCTGAAACCCTAAACCCCTGTATCCTCTATTCACCCTAAACTTCGCATCCAAGGACCCCTGACAGCGCCTGGCACCTCGGTGGGTTCTGCTTCGGCCACTCGGGCTGCTGTTGTCGGAGCTTTCCATCTGTGCTGACGATTGAAGGTTTAGAGTTTTAGGGTGGGGACTAGAACCCAAAGTAGGTCCACATTCCACACGTTTTTGTTTTGAGGTTCCCTTACAAGCCCTTCTTCCACGAAAAAGGGCGCCCTGCTGATTCACAGGTTACTCTTGGGTTGAGAAGCCACACACACACACACTTTTCTGAAGCACAGCGGAGGTCAAGCCTCCGGGGACACGACGAAGGCCGCTGAGATCAGGGTCCACGTGACATGGGCAGCCTGGCTCCAGGGTCCGTTTGGCCTCGGGAATGGAAGACGAGCTCTGTGTTTTGGGTTTAGGATTTGGGGTTTAGGGTTTAGGGTGGTTTTGGAGATTTGGAACCTGTGGTTTCTGGCCCTAGCTTAGCGGCTAAGCTCGATAGGCCGTAAGTAGAGCTTAGGGCGTGGGTTTTCAACGAGAATGGGGTCGTTTGGCCCCTTCGTAGGGTGAAACTTCTTTCTGAGCTTGAGTTTAACGTCGTCTGCGGCTGACTTTGTTTGGCGTGCCGCTACGTTTCCTTTGTTGAAGGTAATCCTCTTACGTGGCAGCCGCGCCAAACAGGCGAGCCCAAAAAAGTACCCTCTACTACTATTGGGTCATTCTTCGGCACCCTTAAGGGATCTACTTTTTGGATCCTCCCAGAGGCCTAACCCTAAACCCGAAACCCTCCTAAGCCTAAACCCTGAACCCTAAACCCCATAAACCCTAAAACCCTAAAACGTCTGGGTCGCGCACGCCAAGGGAGGAGAGAAGAGGTTGGACGAGATTGGGCCGGTGAAGCTGGTGGCCTTCGATGCCCGAGAGCAGAAGTGGGGTGCTGTGAGGGACACCTGGGGGAGCTTCGGCCGAAAGGTTTTAGGGTTTAGGGTTTAGGGTTTAGGGTTTAGGGTTTAGGGTTTGAAGAGGGAACGTCTCGTGTGGGTTATAAGCGCGTATCTATCGAAGCCTCCATAGGGATGCCTTGAAGCTTGCAGCTACCAAGGCGCGAGGCCTGCGAGGACAAGCTGGACTCAGCCAACATGGCGCGCGTCCTCAACGAGACCAAGGTCAAGTTCAACTTCCGTGTCAAAGTCCACCAGACCTTGGGCGGCCCCAAGTCGCTTTTTTGCTAGCCCATTTCAACCAAAAGGGTACCCTGTTGATTCCTCATGGTTTGTGGGCTCATGTTATGTCAGCAAACGGCTCTGAGGGTCTAGCTTCAGGCGGAAAGCTCAGGACCAGCGCTGCTCGCGACTGGCACTTCGCGCTCCTGACCTGTGGGGACGTGGAGCAGGCACCCCTCTTGGTGACCCTGGAAGCGACCAAGGGCGCGTTGAACATGTTCGCGGCCAACTCCAACTTTGACTCCACCAGCTGTCCGGTGCCACAGCTGCCTTGGTTTGCCGTGGCGCGCGACGATGCAGGGTTTTGGGTCCTCCTGGTGCTGGCCCTGTTTACGGGTTGCAGCTCGGTCCTGGCAGTTGTCCTGTGCCGCCACTTCCGCGCCAAGGGACGCAAGGGCGAGGCCAGCAGCCTGCATGACCTCACGACGCTGCATGACCTCCCGCCGCCGGCGCTCAGTGGCGCGCAGGCCGTCATCGGCAGGCCGTGTGCACCAACCACCGAGGAGACTCCTCTCTGAGCTTCAATTGGGATCATCCCCTGGGGCCTTAGATTATATGATTATATATATATATATACACATGTATATATATATATAGAGAGAGAGAGAGAGAGAGTATATCGAGTATAGAGTAGATTATGAAGCATTACTGGTTCCAGATTCTGTGTTATGGACGAGATTTTGTGTGTGTTTACAAAATGTGCCTTATGTATTCTGTTACTCGTAGTATACTCTACTGTACCTATATGTACATATTATATACATATATGTATATAATATGTATATCTATACATACCCACATGAATGCTTTGATGGACTGGGAAGCACGCACAGGAGAAGATCGTGGCCGGCCAGGTCAGTGCCAACCCTCAACAAGACTCGAGCGAGACGGCACCTGAGCGGAGCTCGACGGAAACTCCGGAGAGCTGTGTATAGATGCATTCAGGTTCTTTATTCGGCAGAGAGCAAAACTGCCCAACGCTTCAATTGTACTATGACCTGTTTATATGTGCAACCGCCAAAACTTAGGAACAGTAACCCATGCCCTGCAGGACCACCGTGTGAAAGCTTACTGGAGTGTGTTGGAACCAACCCCTCCACAGTGATAGGACGGCCCATCTATCCGCGGCATAGGGGTTTCCAAGAAGTTCTGGTGAGCACTTCCTTTCGAGAGAGACGGGTCAGCTGACGTTCAGGATCTTGGTGGTAGGCAGCTAGGGTTTAGGGTTTAGGGTTTCGACATATCGAAACTCTAGACATCTGCTGACTTCTCAGCTGACCCGGAGCCTAAGGCCGCGCGAAGCGCGTTCTGAGGCTTTTCCTGCAGTACGTGTTATCCAACAGTCGACCTGTTTAAAGGGTTCCATTCTTTTACAGGCGGCATGTGGTTTTTTCTGCCAAGTCGCTGCCCGCCCCAGAAGTGCAAGTAGTACATCCCGACAACGAGGAGGTGCATGACCTCCAAGACCCACCATACCATTCGGCTCATCTTGTCAGCCCGGTGAAAAAGGCAGTGTCTCAAAGTGGCCCTTGGGAGATCTCAGCTGTCAAAGAATGCGCGCTCTGCGCCTTCGTCCCCTCCTCCCCAACCCCCGAAATTTCGTCCCCCGAAAGCCACCAAAGGTCTTGCCAAAAGCATAAATGGAGCCTCCCACATGTTTCCTCTGACCCAGAGTAGGCCATTGTTCCCTTTTTTGGGGGGGTTTAGCTTCCCTTAGAAACACCCTAAGCCCTAAACCCTAGACCCTAAACCCCTTTAAACCAAAAGGGCACCCTTGCTATTCCTAGGGTACTCTTAGGCCATACACCCCCCCCCCCCCCCGCCCCCTCACTCGGAAGCTGCGGGGCATCACCGCACATCTAGAAAAGCAGGAAAGCCCAGGCCTAGGGTCTAGGGTTTAGGGTTTAGGGTTTAGGGAGGAAAAAGCCCTGGAAATCCTGATCCCTGAAGCCTGCACATTGTGCCCGAAATAGATTTTCTGGCTTGAGGGTTTTAAAGTCGGTGCAGTTTATTGTGTCATCGTGCGTTCGTTTTCTGCTGGAGGTTTAACGGTTTGTTTGGAAAACTCTTACCTAGCCACCCTAAACCCCAAACCCTAAACCCTAAACCCGAAACCATAAACCCTAAACCCTAACCCTAAGTCCTAAAAGCCCACTCTCTCACTGAGGCGCTGGGAAGCCTCAGAGGCAGGGGCGGGCTTTGGCTCTTTTTTTCGGGGTCTGAGGGTTTCGGGTTTAGGGTTAGGGTTTAGGGTTGAGGGCTTTCGGGTGAAAGTTTAGGCTTGGTGTTTCAGGGGCTTGGCAGGCTTCGGGGTTCAGGGGTTTGCGGGTTGAGGGTTTTGGGCCGTTTTGAGGGTTTCAGGGTGTTGTGACTTGCTTTTCTTTTCCCCATCTTTTCCCCAAGGCTTGAGGAAGAGTGGGCTGAGGGTTTTCGAATTTCGCCCTAAACCCTAAACCCTAAACCCTAAACCCTAAACCCGAAACGGTGGATCATGGAGTTTGGGCGGGGGGTTGGGGCTTAAAACTACGAGGTGGGAGACTCAGAAGGGACCCTGCCTTCGACATACCCCCCGAGGCCCGCGGTTTAGGGTTTAGGAATTAGGGTTTAGGGTTTAGGGTCTAGGGTTTAGGGTTTAGGGTTTGGGGATCCAATCGCCCTGCAGCGGGTCGTGAACCCCTCTCAGGCATGTAAATCGCAATCCCTCTAAGCCCTAACCCTAAATCCTATAACCCTATAAACTGGGATGTTCCACCCTTATACTAACAGTCCCAATATTTGTGATTATAGGATCCCCCTATTACAATCCCATGTCAGGACTGATCGTATAAGGGGGAACATCCCAACCTATAAGCCCTATCGCAAAGGTGACGAACAGCCCAAGTCATGGATGGCGCCAGATTCGGGTTTAGGGCTTAGGGCTTAGGGTTTCGGGTGTGGGCTTTAAGGTTCAGGGCTTAGGGTGTAATTAGGTGGGTTGTGACTTGATGCGAAGATTAAGACATCTGGCGTAGAACCGAAAAGGCAGTTCCAACATATATGCCCTTCAAGGTTAGCTAACAGATGTAGCTGTGCTGCTTGATTCCTAGCAGCTCCGTAACTTTATAGAACATCAAAAGGTGCTTAACACACATTGATCAACACCATAAAGTACACAGGCTACAACACGTGCTTCTCAACGAAGAACACCAATGGCAAAGAAAACGGGCCTACTTCATTTTTTCAAGAGAATGGGAATGGAGCTAGGCTTCCCGAAGCCCTGGAATCCTACACCCTGAGCCCTCAACCTTGCCTGACAAGTCAGGAACTCGCCAACCGAAATCCGATTGATCCAAAAGATGCTGAAGAGTACGCTGAGTTGTATCGTTATGCAAAGGGTATTTCCCAACATAAGAGAGCCCTCATTATATGTGTATATCCCGAATTATAATACGTATTCTAGGAACCTAAAAAGGGACTCCAATAAACATCGGAAACCCGAATATGGTCTATTGGCCCTGTCTCTTGCGCAGGCCCCTAGTTCAGGGTTTAGGGTTTGGGGTTTAGGGTTTAGGGTTTAGGGTCACTGGCATTGTTGCTGAACTACTCTACTGACTACTGGTTGCTAGGGCTCCTGAACCTATAAGAAGTATAGAGCCCCCTTCATCCAACTCCACCACTGTCGTGGAGCAAGTGCGAGGAATCCTGCTCCAAATGCCACGACCGCTACGCAGAGGATGCAGATGTAGGGGAAGTCGGCGTGCCCCCCTGAGTTGTTATTCCTTCAGTGTTCAGTGCTTGCTGCTTCCTTCTGGCAGCAGCAGCAGCAAGCCAGCCAGTGCAAGCTGCAGTGTCTCAACCCTACAGTACATCCTAAACCCAAAGTTGTAAACCCTTTACCTAGAAGTCTAAACCCCGAAATCCTAAAACCTGAGCCATGTTGCCCAGAAGCCCTCCACAGCAGATAGAGGACGCACTCTTCTGCCGGCGGTGCGGGTCTGAGCGGAGGAAGGCCTGGTAGGGTTTAGGGTTTAGGGTTTAGGGCTTAGGGCTTAGGGTTTAGGGTTTAGGGTTTAGGGTTTAGGGTTTAGGGTTTAGGGTTTAGGGCTTAGGGCTTAGGGCTTAGGGCTTAGGGCTTAGGGTTTAGGGGTCGTGACGTCGGGCTTTTGGGCATGCCTGGCTTTGTTCCGAATCATGGGCCATGTATGGACCCACATGGGTGGATGTCAAAATTAGGGTCCCTTTTAAGTGATCCCTATTAGAATACGGCACCCCAAAAATTCAGGGTCCCTATTAAGGGATCATAATTTTGACAACCACCTACATGATAAAGGAATCCGAAGAACTGCCCACAGTAAGAGAGTTTCAAGGTTGAGGGTTTATAAACTTACTGGAGAGAGCCTCAGAATGTAACACTGCTTCCGCAAGGCTTAGGGCAAAAGTTGACTACACTCTGAGCCCTAAACCCTATATCCCTACAAACCCTATTGTCCATCTGCTGGCGCGCTGTTGGATCCTCAAGTTCTCATGAACTTTGTCCATCGGCTTATGGGTGTTCAGGGATAAGGGTTGGCATGTTCCCCCTTATACTAACAGTCCGTAACAGGGATTATAGTACCCCCTGTTACACCCTAAGCCCTAAACCCTGAATGTCAGTATAAGGGGCTTCAGGGTAAAGGGTTCATTATTTAGGGCTTAGGGTTTGAGGCTGTAGTACCGGCTTCCTTAACCCCAAACCTTCAATTCAACCCGACTCAACCCCCAACGCGAAGCCTTACACCCTAAAACCCTCAAACCCGAAAACCATAAAGCTGTAAACCCTGGCACCCTGGACCCTAACCCTAGCACCCTAAAACCCTAAACCCTAAAACCCTAAAACCCTAAACCCCGGACCACCTCTTCTTGATTTGCCAGCGTGCTTTCGTGCAGCCATGAGTCTTTAGCCTCGACAGCATTAAGGCAGCAGGCTTCGAGTTTGATAGGGATTTTGGGTTTAGGGTTCATGATTAAGGGTTTAGGGTTTATTATTAAGGGTTTGTTATTAAGGGCTCAGGTGCGGGGAAGTTTCGAGGAGTTTCGAGGAAAGTTTCGTTTTTATTGACTTTTGAATGCTTTCAAGTTACAGAAGTTTTCAGGGTTTAGGGTCTAGGGTTTGGGGTGTAGGTTCAGGATTCAGGGTTCAGGGTTTAGGGTTTAGGGTTTTGGGTTTAGGGTTTAGGGTTTAGGGTTTAGGGAGCCCCCAATTCACGGGCTGATTTTTCTTACACCGCGCTCCCATGCATCGCCTCAAGCACCTTGCTCGGCACCTGGCCGTCAGCCCCACACAGGCGCAGAAGTTTCGACGTTTCTGCCCGGCAGGGTTTAGGGTTTTGGGTTTAGGTTTTAGGCATTAAGGGTTAGGGTTTAGTGGTGTAGGGTTGACAGGGTGTAGGGAGTTATAGGGTTCAGGGTTTAGGGTTTATTCAGGTTTCTGGCGCATCACTTGGGGTTTGGGGCTTTTCGCGAGGCTTCTGGGGAGTAGGGGCAGTCTGTTGAACTCCCTCTCGTCATGGGATCACCGATCGGATCACCACCCAACCTAAATCATGTTGCTGAGGGTTTAGGGTTTAGGGTTTAGGGTTTAGGGTTTAGGGTTTAGGGTTTAGGGTTTAGGGTTGAAGTTTAGGGTTGAAGTTCGGATGCTCGCTACTCTGCCTTCCCAAGAAATACACCTTCAGCGACCCCTATTCGAAGTCCCCGGGCGCTGCGCAGGTGACAAAGCAGTAGTAGGAGAGGGCTGGAAGCTCATAGAGACCCAAACCCTAAATAAATTCTGTCGTGGTGGGGACATTTTTTTATTTTTTTCAGGGTACCACCTCAATAAGGAAAAGAAGTTTAAACTTTCAATGCTATGCTATCCCAAATGAACTTGTAAATCCTAAACCCTAGCCCAAAACCCCCTCAAGCCTGAAACCCATAGTTTCTGGACCCGGGCTGTATAAAGATTCCTTGAACAACCTTTCTTCGAAGCAAGGCCCCAAGCAAATTTCCCAGAGGGTAGTCCCGGAGCCCTAAGCGATGAGCCCTACACCCTAAGCCTTTAGGTTTAGGTTTAGGGTTTAGGGTTTAGGGTTTCGGGTTTAGGGTTTAGGGTTTAGGGTTTAGGGTGAACACTATACCGATCACGACATGAGAAGACGTTGGAGTTTTTTTTGAGTTTAGGTCTCGGGGAGCTTAGCCCTAAACCCCTGAACCCCTGAACCCTTCGAGTCCTTGAAGGCCATGAACTCTTGAAGGCCTCATCAATCCCTCAAGGCCCTGAAGGGTTTAGGGTTTAGGGTTTAGGGTTTAGGGTTTCCTCAAAACCGTACTGCTTGAGCTCTTACACCCCCATACCAGGATGGGCGATTAGGCCCTGAATCCGCATAATCAACCCTATACAGGGCCTTTTAAGGTGGGTTGTAGGGTATAAGAGCCCGTCCCGGCAACAAGCAACTATTAAATTCGGAGCGAAAAGCACCTAAGCCCCTAAACCCTGAATCCCTAAAGCACACCTAACCCAGAGGGTCCATCTGTATGAAATTAGGCACCCCAAAACCCTATCTTATGGTTTTGGGGTACCTAATTTCATAATAATACTAATGATAATAATTTCATTATACAACAGGACCCTCTGGGTAAACTGCTTAAGGGCAGTTCTACACCCCGAAAACCCCCAGTAAGCCGTACTGCAGCAAGCGAAGATCCGAATCCCTGAACCCCTACGAAAGCGCTGGGGTTTAGGGTTTAGGGGTTTAGGGGTTTAGGGGTTTAGGGGTTTAGGGGTTTAGGGGTTTAGGGGTTTAGGGGTTTAGGGGTTTAGGGGTTTATTGGGTTTTTAGGGTATACACCCGAATCCCGGAACCCTGCTGAAGCCCCTGAACCCTGCACCCCGAAACCCTGCACCCTCCCCCCAAATCCTAAACCCTAAACCCTGAACCTAAACCCTCAACCTAAACCCTAAACCCTGAAGGCGCGCTGTGCGGCTGTTGGCAGCTCCGCCGGCCCTTCGTCCACCGTTGCATCGGCGGTGGAGGACTTTAGGGGGCTATAGGGGTTAGGGTTAGGAATTCAACGGTTTATGGTTTAGGATTTTAGAATGGTCAAGGTGGTTTAGGGGTGTATAGGATTCAGGAGTTGTGGTTTAGGGATTGTATGCTTTAGAGGTTTATATGGCTTGGGGTTCATGGTTCAGGGATTATATGCTTTGGGGATCTAGGATTTTCGGGTTTAGGAGTTTAGAGGTCTAGGGTTCATGAGATTTGGGTTTGTAGGGTTAACGGTTGTGGGTTCTTAGGTTTAAGGAGCTTAGGATTTGGAGTTTTGCCGGGGAGGAAAGGGGGGGGGGAAGGGGCGGGAAAGGGGGGGTTGGGGGGAAAGGCGGCGGGGGGAAGGATGGGCTTCTTGTTAGGGTCTTCAATTGCTTGATGGTGCCCCGCATTTTAGGGGTTTCTGGGTTCAAGGATTTTGGATTTGGGACCCTAACACTCTAGAACTCTAGCCCCCTAAACTAGCGCTCAGTGGGGCTCGGAGAACTCAGCCATGCTTTTGCCTTGAGGTTAAGGCGTAGAGAGGGTTCCTCTCGCCCAAGACCCCTTATTCACCCAAAATGCTTGGAGAATTCATCACCTAAAGCTGCTAAAGGACCCAAAGCCCCATCCTTCAACACCCGTCCCAAAGCACCTACAAGCCCAACAACCTTAAACCCCAAACCCCAAACCCTAAGCCCTAAACCCTAGACCCTGGACCTTGGACCCTAGACCCTAGACCCTAGACCCTAAACTCTACATGGGTTGGAGCAGGGCTTTTTGGCGGCCCCGGCGGGCTTCGCGGTGGTGGGGGCTTCCGCGGAGCGACGGAAGTTCGGCAACCAGGTCTGGGGGGGGGGGGGGTGCGGGCAGATGGTTCAGGGTTCGGGGTGCAAGGTTTAGGGTTCAGGGTTTAGGGTTTGGGGTTTGGGGTTTGGGGTTTAGGGTTTACGGTTGAAGGGATGTGGTGGTATTTGGGAGGATTATATAGGGGAATTGGGGCATTTAGTCTTGATGGGGCCTTCCGGATGTAGGCGTTTCGGGGCTTCAAGTCTCGGGCAATTGGGGTTTTGGTAGGTGCATTCAGGAATGTCAGGTTTGGTGGCAGGAAATCGGTTTTTAGGGTATTGTGTTTTGGGACTTGCCATTGTTGCTGAGCTGTTTTGATCTGGGGCAGCAAAGGGGGATGTGAGCAACACAAGCGTCTACATGTACCGCTGCAGCTCACGCTCTGAGGAGCATGTGCGAAACAGAGGCATGAGTTCTGCAGAGAGAGCGTGCTCGATCGAATTCGCATGTGGTGCATTGAGGGGTCGATTTCTATTCGTGACCCTAGCTCTTCAGGCCAAACTCCTTGAACTGCTTAAGCCCTGCTCTCACGCCTCAAGGCATGGTTCTTCATACATAGCTAACCCAAAACCCTACATCCTCTTACACTCTTTGAATACAATAAAGCTACAAGATATTAACCCTGCAAGCCTATAAACCCTACGGCCCCTTCAAACCGTCTCAGCCCTATGAACCCTAAACCCTAAACAGGTTCTCCGCTGCTACATGCAACATGGCCTGAGTGTGGTCCCCGTCAGCATCTCGCAGAAGGTGATCGAAGGCAGTCGATCCTCAAGTTTAGGGCTCACGAGGGCTTGCTCGTGTTTAGCCATGGAGGAATGCGCTCATACCTTCATCTAATTTGTCAGCTAGGTTTGCGTGTGTCTTAAGGCACAGGTTGCTCCGCTTGAGTTCACTCCGGATACGTGGCCTTTCTGGCGAGATTTTGGCTTCGAGTTTTCTTCAGGGCGGAAAGTGTGGTATTGCTGAACCCTTGCCCTAACGGCTAAGCAGCCCTGCATCCCGGATCCCACCCAAAAATGCCCAAAACATGTGCGAAACACACATATCTTCGAACCCTAAACCCTTTCAACCTGAAACCTTATAGCTTCTAAGCCTTCTGACCCAAAACCCCTGTCAACCCTAAACCTTATGGCCTCTAAGCCTTCTACTAGTAGTAGTAGTAGTAGTAGTAGTAGTAGTAGTAGTAGTAGTAGTAGTAGTAGTAGTAGTAGTAGTAGTAGTAGTAGTAGTAGTAGTAGTAGTAGTAGTAGTAGTAGTAGTAGTAGTAGTAGTAGTAGTAGTAGTAGTAGTAGTAGTAGTAGTAGTAGTAGTAGTAGTAGTAGTAGTAGTAGTAGTAGTAGTAGTAGTAGTAGTAGTAGTAGTAGTAGTAGCAGTAGTAGTGACCCAAAAGCCCAAAAGCTTGTATCGCCCTTTTTGAGCGAGTACAGGAAAAGCAGCGAGGAAACTCTCGGGCCGCAGCTCATTTCTGGGCTCCCGGGGCTTGGGATGTTTGGGGGTTTAGGGTTTAAGAGTTTAGGGCTTAGGGTTTAGGGTAGTTAGGGTTTAGGGTTTGGGTTTAGGGTTTTGCGGTTTACGGTTTCGTGGATTTAGGGTTTTAGGGCTTCTTGGTTTTTGTTGAAGGTCTTCAGGGTTTCTCGGTTCTTTCTTTATTGTTTAAAGGGTGTAGGGAGGTCTGGGTTACGTACGGCTTTAGTCGCGGTTTGCGCAAGGTTTAAGAGTTCAGGGTTGAAGAGTGCAAGGTCTTGGAGTGTTTTGGATTTGGGTGTGATTCTTTTCGGGCTAAGGGTTCAGCCGTTTTCGACGAATCTCAACCCTGTACCTGCACTCCTGAACCCCAAGCCCCAAACCTTAAACAGCCTTTCCGTGGTACGCCCCAAGGTCACCTCTCGCTAGATAAGCGGAGGGCGCGGCAGATCTGCAAGGTTGCAGCATCGGATGTACCGGGTTTAGGAGTTCACGTGCTTTAATACTTGGCTTCGCTGTGTAGAGTCTTAGGGGGTTTCCTGGGCCCTGAGAGAGACCTGCTTGTGGCATGGCTTCTGTGCAGCTCTGCGGCTTCATCTCCACGGGAGTGTCTGCGTACGCCGCACGCCTCTGGCAGGCCCTCTCGCACAGCGCGCCCCGGCAGCCGGCCCAGAAGCCGAAGCTGCGATGTGGGAGGGTTCCGAGGATGTCGGCGTTGGTCCAGGCGATGCTGGCTGACTTCGCATCCTCCGGGATGGTGTCTACCGGAGTGCGGCACACTTGCGCCGTTGAAGCCTCGGAAGAGAGGCAGCTGGTCTGCTTCGGAAGCAATGAGCACGGCGAGTGCGACGTCCCACCTGGCTTGGGACCTGTTGTTGCAGTCTCTGCAGGAACCCATCACACCTGCGCAGTGGCCGCGGGCGGTCAGCTGAGGTGCTTTGGAGCAAATCTCTTCGGCGAGTGCGATGTGCCAAGCCACTTGGGGCAAGTTGTAGCGGTCGCAGCCGGCTCGCGCCACACGTGCGCCATCGCAACGGACGGGCGGCTTACTTGCTTTGGATACAACGGGTATGGCGAATGTAGTGTGCCACCAAAGTTGGGCCCGGTGGCAGAGGTCTCTGCGGGCTTCCACCACACTTGCGTGGTTGAAACCGATGGACACCTGACTTGCTTCGGATACAACGGGTATGGTGAGTGTGATGTCCCGGAGGACTTGGGACCAGTGTCGGCTGTCTTTGTAGGCAAGGACCATACGTGTGCAATACGGGTGGATGGCCAACTGGTCTGTTTCGGGCAAACTGAGGATGGCAAGTGCGATGTGCCGGCGAGCTTAGGACAGGTCGTGACAGCCTCTGTAGGCACTTGGCATACGTGCGCCGTGACCGCAGATGGTCAGTTGACCTGTTTCGGGTACAACGGGCATCGAGCGTGCGACGTGCCAGAAGACTTGGGACCCGTGGTGGCAGTCGCTGCTGGGAGTCGTCACACGTGCGCAATGAAGGCAGATGGTGAGTTGGTCTGCTTCGGCTCGCTCTCAACCCAGCAAACTGCGTAGCGACTCAACGAGCAGACCGGAGTGCGCTCTGCAACATATGCGCGCGCTTCTGCTGTTCGTGGTCTCTGGATGTTAGGAAGTTGCTCCTTGGGTCTGCATCCCCGGTTTCTTGTTATCTTGTTGAGTTGGGTCGGATGTGTGCATCTTGCAGATGCCCGCAGGTCTTGTCTTTAAACAGCTGAGTATCTTATGGGCTTAGTTTGGACAGGTTGCGCACTTCTAAGTTTCAAGACCATCGGTGCTATGAGACCCATGTCCCGAACATCCGCACTCAACGCTCCGAAAAAGTACCGTAGCCTAGCTGACGTTCGGGGAGCCCTCATATGTTGACCCGATCAATCACCCGAAACCTATACGCGCCTCTTCAACCCCAAACCCTAAATAACCCTCAACCCTAAACCCTAAACCCTAAACCCTAAACCCTAAACCCTAAACCCAGGGAGCCTACTTGGTCCGAAAGATGCTACCGGTCTTGGCCCTGACCGAAACTTCCCTAAGCCCCAGAAGCTAAACCCTCAAGCCGAAGCTAGGTGTTTAGGGTTTAGGGTTTAGGGTTTAGGGTTTAGGGTCGGTTGAGGGTTTAGGGTTTAGGGTTTAGGGTTTAGGGTTTAGGGTTTAGGGTTTAGGGAAGACCTAACAACAACTCAGCCTTACACCTTCCAAACCCTGACTAAGACCCTAAGGGTGTTACATGGTCCCTGAGTAGGGTCCCTAAGCCCCCTTATATTTACAAGGTTCTGAAGTAGGGGCGCTTGAGATGTACAGGGGTCCCCTTTTCAGGGCCCGTGCTTACAAAGGCTAATTAGCCCTAAACCCTAAACCCTAAACCCTAAACCCTAAACCCTAAACCCTAAACCCTAAGCCTAAACCCTAAACCCTAAACCCTAAACCCTGTAAGATAAGCTCCGGAGGACTGGCAACCGTCGCTTCGCTGCGCCACCTGGGTCGCGAGGCTGCGGACTCCCGGCCGAAGAGTTTTTGGGGCTTTAGGGTTTAGGGTTTAGGGGTTTAGGGGTTTAGGGGTTTAGGGTTTAGGGTTTTGGGTTTTGGGTTTTGGGTTTCGGGTTTCGGGTTTAGGGTTCAGGGTTTAGGGTTTAGAGTTTTGGGGCCGCTGGGCTTTAAGCATTTGGGGGGGGGGGGGGGGGGGGGGGGTTCTAGGGTTTTGGGGGGGTGTTACGGGTTGGGGCTTAGGGGTTTTAGGGGTTTTAGGGGTTTTAGGGGTTTTAGGGGTTTTAGGGGTTTTAGGGGTTTTAGGGGTTTTAGGGGTTTTTGGGGTTTTAGGGTTTTTTAGGGTTTTAGGGTTTTAGGGTTTTTTAGGGTTTCAGGGTTTTAGGGTGTTTTAGGGTTTTAGGGTTTTAGGGTTTTTTAGGGGTTTAGGGTTTTTTAGGGTTTTAGGGTTTTAGGGGTTTAGGGTTTTAGGGGTTTAGGGGTTTTAGGGTTTTAGGGTTTTAGGGGTTTAGGGGTCTTGAGTCTTGGCCTTCTTGGTAGCCCAGTGGTACTCTTTTGCACTTTCTTTCTAGGTCCCCTTACTATAGTAGCCAACCCCAAACAGGGTGCCCTTACTATAGTGTCGTTACCGGGCTACCAAGCGCGCTGTAAGCATTGAGGGGGGTTTTAGGGCTGAGGGTTTAGGGGTTTTAGGAGTTTTAGGGGTTTTAGGGTTGACGGGGTTGAAGGGTTTACGGCTTCTGGGGTTTTAAGCGTTTTGTGTCTTCTCGATTCTGCATCTCAAATTGTTTAAGGCCCTAACCCTAAACCCTAAACCCGTTCTTAGGGGTTTAGGGTTTCGACCCAAGAACATGGGGAATGTCTGGGGAAGGGGCGTAGGGTGTATGTTTTTGTTTAGGCTGTGTTGGGAGCTGCGGGTTGTTGGTTCTTTAGGTGTTGAAAGGGGTTTAGGGTTTAGGGTTTAGGGTTTTTTGTGTGCCCAGGTCCTAGGTCTCGGGGACAGCGCACTTTGCCCGAACCAGTTTGGATGCACCTCTTGTTCGATAATAATGGCCATTTAGTCGCAGGGGCACAGGAAGTATAAACATAATCACCCTAAATCCTAAACCCAAAACCCTAAACCCGAAACCCTAAACCCTTAATTGGGCTAATCTGTGGTCTGTGTGGAGGTATATGTTCCCTTCGATGGAGGATCATCATGGCAGCGTAAAGGCGGTGTGTGTCAGGCTGTGGAGACCTCCGAAACATAGCCCTACGAGCTGCAGCTACTTGAAGGTTCATGGTACTCATTCAACAAGTATAACTGTACTTATAAACCACTTAGAAGCCCCCTAAGTGCCCTAACATGGTTATAGGTACAGTTATAAGTGCAGTTATAACTGGTTAATAAGTACCATGAACCTCCAAGTAGCTGCAGCGGACGCCGAAGAAGGGGCCCGACCTTTCGACGGTCGTAAAGCAGGTGGATCAGGAGGCCGCCAGATAGGGTTCAGGGTTTAGGGTTTAGGGTTTTGAGGGTTGAGGGTTGAGGGTTGAGGGTAATTATGACCCCAGTCAGAAGTCTACTGATAACCTGTTTTGGGGGACTTTGGGGGGCTTGTAAGATACAAGTACCCTTTGAACCTCCAAGTACGAGTCCAGGGCCCGTAGCACCTGGCACGCTGTCAATTTGCAGAATTTAGGGCTTTAAGGTTTGCTGTAGGGCTTCGGGGTTTTAAGAACAGTTGCAGGGATATTGCTGGGATTGTTGGTTCATGAGAAAAAGTACCGCGTTGTCGTCTTTCGATTTCAAGGTTTCGGGGCGCTGGGGTTACAGCTCTGCAGGTCTTGGAGTACATCTCCTGGCGTGGGCGGGCTGTAGTCGTTAGCTGCTTTGAGGTGTAGGGAAACTTGGCTTAGGGGAGTAGCGTGAGGACATGTGTTGCTCGGCTCCTGACGTTTGAGGGTTTAGGGTGCAGGGTTTCAGCGTTAAAAACCCTAGTCAGCCCCGAAAGCGTATAAACCCTATCACTCATGATCAGGTCATCCCTATGAACCCCTATCATCAATCTAAGCCCGATGAACCCTTCAAACCCTAGAACCCAAGGACTACGGGGTCTCCGTGATCACGCCCCCGAAGGCCCTCTGTGCTTTGTCTGCGAGATTAGGGTTGAGGGCGTGTACGGAGAAGTTAGGGAAACCCTCAGGGAAGGGGGAAGGGAGACGCCCCATTCACCAAACCCTCCAACGCCCCGCTCAATCCCCAAAAACATTCTCAAGAGGGTCCACCTAAACTTAAGCCCCTTCAACCCTGGACCCTCTAAACGCCACCGCACGATGCGCCTGCTAAGTTTTCCTGGTTGTTAGTATGGACTCGGGTCCTCAGGTCCCTTTTTTGAGACTCCATGCGCACCTGCGCACATGCACACGCTCGCACGCATCTATACGCGCACGCGCATGTGCGCGCACGCGCGCGCACGATCAACTTGTCAATCACATGCAAACGGTGTCTTCCCAGCTGTGCTGCCAGGTAACTTTGGAGCTCCTCGAGGTCGTCCGATGCTGGGCTGCTGTTGGGTTGCAGGCTTTGGGTTTTGGGTTTTGGGTTTAGGGTTTAGGGCCAGTTTAGGGTTCAGGGTTTAGGGTTCAGGGTTTTGGGTGCCTTTTGGTGTGTCTTGTTCCGTCTGCTGGGGAGAGAGGGCTTGGGCTTACGGTTTTAAATCGTTGGGGTTTGGGCTGGGTTGGGGCTGAGGGGTTCTATCTATCAGGGGGGGGGGGGAGGGTTCGGGCGGCCGAAGGAAAGCACGGGGGTTCGCGTTCAGGCAGTTCTGCTGGCAGCGTTAATTAAACCCTAAACCCTGAGCACTGAGCCCTAAACCCTAAACCCCGAGCTTTGGCGAGCCAAAGGCTGTCGCTTGATGTTGAGGGTTTAGGGTTTAGGGGTCAAGAGTTGAGGGTTTAGGGCTTAGGGTTCAGGAGTTTAAGGTTTGAGCGTTACACGTCGGAATTTTTGACATGCGTTTGATAGTTCAGGGCTTTTGGAGGCTATCGGGTTTCGGGTACAGGCTTCAAGCCTTTTGCGAGTTCAGAGCTTCAGGTATTTTGGGAGAAGCTCAGCCTGAAGCCTTGAACCCTACGCCTTTGACCCTTCGCCCTTCACCCGTAAAACCCCAAACCCTAAACCCTTGTTCGGCAGCGTTACAATTTTTTGAATTACATCCTGAAACCCTAAATCCGAAACTCTAAACCCGAAAAGCGTAGATCCCTAAGCCCTAAAAACCCCCAAAGCCCTGAAGCTCTAAAACCTTAAACCTAAAACTACCCTAAGCCCTAGACCATTGAAACCCTAAACCTTACCCTTTTTTAGTTGGTAAGAAGCCTACCGAGGAGACTTAGGGGTGAGCCGCCTATGGCTGCAGCCAGGGTCCGAGTCACCGGAGGTGCGGTTCTTACTTTTTCTTCAGGGGTTAGGGTTGATATGCGGCTTCTAAATGTTTAGGGTATACGGTTCAGGGTTCAGGGTTCAGGGTTCAGGGTTCAGGGTTTAGGGTTTAGGGTTTAGGGTTTAGGGTTTAGGGTTTAGGGTTTGCAGTTGCTAAGGGTGGCTACAAAGTCTGGCAACTCTAAGTTTGGTGCCGCAGTGGTGCAGCGTCTCACCAAAGGGTACTTACCATGGTCCCTGAATGTGGTCACTTACCTCCATGAAAGGGTTCTGAAGTCTGGGCCCTTGGATTGTTGTATAGGGTATATAAGGGGTATATAAGGGGCACCCTTTTGAGGGCCGATTCTAGGTAGTGTGCTTTCTAGAGGCGGTTTCTTATTCCCATCTCCGTTCTCTCACCCTCAGACGTACGACTGTTGGACAAGGAGTTCATGCAGCGAATACTGGCTCGTTCACCCAACTGTGCGTCTTGTAGCTCTCCCCCAAGTAAAACTCCTTAACAATAGTACCAGTTTGACCGAAGAGAACACACAAGACTCGCTAAAATCAGTTAAGTGGCAAACGCATGAGATGAAATGAATGCATGCGTGTAATTTAGCTATAGTTGAATGGGTGTTTTGTGCGCTCGCCTTTTGCGCTCACGTGTTTTAGGGGACCATGTACCGTACGCAAGAGGGTTTAGGGTTATGAGGGTATACAGGATTCATTGGTTTTGGGTTCGAGTTTAAACAGGTTCGTAGTTTGGGATGTTCCCCCTTATACTAACAGCTGTTAGCAGGGATTATAATGGGGGGTACTATAATCCCCATAAAGGGACTGCTAGTAGGGGGAACATCCCAATTCATAGGATTTATAGAGTTTTTTCGGGTTTGGGATTTTTGTTGTGTTCGTTCTGGGAGTTTGACGCTTCGTTTCCGGAACCAAACAAGGCCATGAATTCAACCCCAAACCCTAAACCCCTGAATTTAAATTCTTCGGTCGGTAATGCAACTCGACTCCCTTGGTCCAGAAATGACATTCCGAGTTTTGGAAGAGGCATGCTGTTTTGGCTTCAGGGCTGAGGGTTCAGCATACAGGGCGTCTTAGGCTTGCAGTATCCCGCGATTAAGGGCTTTAGTCCAAGTTGCAGGCGTTTCGAGGTTTGAGGCTATATCAACCCCCACCCTGAGCCCCAAATCCCCCTAAACGCTAAACCCTAAACCCTAAACCCTAAACCCAAACGCCCAAACCCGAATGTTTGTGGCTGTAGGCAAGTAGGCTGGGACTTGGTGTCATAGTGTCGCAGGGCGTTTATTGACATGGTCTGACATTTTTTGTGGCGGGGGGGGCGGTCATCTCACATGACTAGGATCTGCGTAAGGGAGCCCAAAAGACAACCCCTAAACGGCAATGGCAATCATCTTTCTCAGTTCTTTTCACGTTCCGTATCCTACCCAGAGGTCCATTTGTATTACTGTTATGTAAGTAGGTACCCCAAAAACCATAAACCCTAAACCCTAAACCCTAACCCTGGGCTAGATGGTGCGGCGGGATTGTGATGCGTTGGACTTGCGCCCCTTGTCCTGGCAGGTCTTGAAGCGAGCATCAGAGTTGGGCATGGGCCGGAAGCTCAGTTTAGGGTTTAGGGTTTAGGGTTTAGGGTTTAGGGTTTAGGGTGTGGGTTCCTAAACCCTAAACCCTAAAACCCTACAGTATGCCCTGAGCAGGAGATCAGGCGTTGTAAGGGTTTGGTCACGCTGGCTGCGTCGACCATCCTAAGGCCCTGAAACGGTACACCAAAATTAGCAGACTTTGGAGTTTAGGGTTTAGGGTCTAGGGTCTAGGGTTTTTGGTCGTTCCCCCTTATACTGACAGTCCTTAATGGGAGGACTGTTTTTGGTATAAGGGGGAACATCCCAAAGAGTACCTCACAAAGCAGAGACATCCACGTATGCAGTCGCGCCACGTCGGAAGAATGGACACACTGGGAATGGAGCCCTGGCACATCCGCATGTAAAGCGGATGTGATACCGCTGCACCATGTGCCCTTAGAGTATCTTTTCAAAACGTCTTAAGAAGGCTAGAAACCCTCAACCCTCAATCCTGAAACCCTCCCGGCCCGAAGCCCGACATATACCCTTCGGCCTGAAGCCCTGCCTTGAGCAGGGTCTGAGATTGGGAGAATAGCACAACGGAGTGCCTGTTTAACATAGGGCTCCATGTAGGGTTTATATGGGTTGCGGTTGAGTCTATGTATGGTTTTGTGGCTGACGCCTTCAGAGGATGTAGGGCCCAGCGTAGGCCCTTGTTCCCATAAACCCTGAACGCCTAAACCACAACCTGTGAACCGGGAGGACTCATCCACTCAGGGCCTTGCCTCCTGCAGGCACCTCGCGCCAAAGGGTTTTAGGCTTCATGGACCTACCCGTAAACGTGTGGGTTCAGGGCTAAGGGTTCCGCCATTATGGTTCAGGGTTTATAAAGGGTTTAGGGTTTAGGGTTTAGGGTGGGGGCTGTATACCGTAGACTCCCAACACGGTTTTGAGGGAGAAGACCCTGAAACCTAGCGTTTGATGGGCTAGTGCTTTTCATGAGGTTGAAGAGTGGCCTACTACAGGAAAGGTTTTGGTTTCGCAGGGTAGGGCCACTCGCCTTCGTTCGAAAGACGACTCGCGCACTGTTCTCTTCCTAAACCCCAAAAAACCAAAACCGAGAAAGCTCTGATGGAAAACGCACGAGTTAAAAGGCCAAGGCACGAGACATTGGGATATTGGGCTGCACAAGGAACCCTAAACCCTAAACCCTAAACCCAGGAGTCTTTAGATGCTCGGCCAACTCGGCCTGAGAAGGATCCCGAAACACCAAAAGCCCCCGCGCGGGCGCTTTTTCAAGCCAGAGAGCCCTGAGACCCTAAACCTTGAACCTCGAAACTTAACCCCATGAACCCTAATCCCTCAACTCCTTAAGCCCTAAAACCCTGAACCCCAGAAACCCCTGGACCTTAAATTCCCAAACCTCCTAACCCAAACCCTAAACCCGAAACCCTAAAGCCTAAACCCTAAAGCCTAAACCCTAATAAACAAGGGTTCGGTGCTGCAACGCCCTTAGGAGCGAAGCCTGAGTTGGCAAACCCTAAACCCTAAACCCTAAACCTTCCCCCCCCCCCCCCCCCCCCCCCCCAAAAAAAAAAAAAAAAGAAGAGCGCCACGCTAGGTGCTCGGTTTCGATTCCACCTGGGGGCCACCGGAGGCTCCCGGGGAAGCACCTGGGGACACAGGAGGGTTTGGGTTTAGGGTTTGGGGTTTGGGGTTTAGGGTTTAGATTTTAGCTTCTCGGTTTGGGGTATAGGGTGTGGGGTTTGGGGTTTGGTGTTTAGTTGTCATCCCTGCTCCTTCCCTGTACGCCCGATATACTTGCGAAACAAACTACCCGACATTACTGGTACGAGTCCGACATGCTCTTTATAGAGTATGGCTCCGGAATGATTCTCTTTGTGAGTGTGTGAAACACTCTTTCACCTTTAGTGCGCGCGGACTTCGGTCCGCATTACAAAAAGGTCGATTCTAGTGACATAGGCTCCTACATCCATCATCGCATATTTCAAAAGAGCGAGCTGATGATCTCAGGTTGAGGGGTTTAAGACATAATGGGTTTAGGGTTTAGAGTTATAATTAGCGTTTAGGGTTCAGGGTTATAATCAGGGTTTACGGCTCATAGGGGTTACGCGCATACGAGTTCAGGGTTAGGGTTATATTACTATCAATCTTTTGGGGGAAGGGATGATGCATGACAGCTGGGGATGAGAGCTAGATGCTCCACTTCTTGTGGCGGTGCGTGTTTTTTTTGAATGAGGGGCTGACCCCAAGTATATGGGCCTTGGGTGAAGTTTCAATGGGCTCTGACACAAAGACCTTTGGTCGAAGCAGGACAGAGGATTTTCCTGTCCATAGTGTAGACAAAAGCGGCCGTGCCAACCTTCTTCCTCTCAGGTGTGAGGCTCATAGAAGCCCTCAAAGCCCTAACCCTAAACTACCCCAAACCCTAAACCCTAAACCCCGAAAACTCTCAACCACCAACCCTGAAGCCACAACGAGACGATGCCAGGCCCTTGCCGAAGGAGCCTCCACCTCTGGCGCTCTGCGCTGGCGCATCGATGCCAAGAAGGCAGAGCATCGAGTTTGGAAAGACCCAATGTGGCTGGTTTAGGCTTTAGGGTTTAGGGTTTAGGGTTCAGGGTTTAGGGTTTAGGGTGTAGGGTTTAGGGTTTAGGGTTTAGGGTTTGGGGTTTGGGGTTTGGGGTTTGGAAGTTAGGGTTTGGTGTTTGGTGCTTGAGGTTTAGTGGTGTACCTTGCAAGCAAACCTAGCATAAGTTAGCCGACCATGTCTTCCAAACTCCAGTTACAGGTTGCACGGGGCACCCCTGTAAACCCGGTAAACCCTGAGCCTTGAACCCTATAGCTTTGTTCCCTTGACCCCCATGATCCCGCTTATCCACACAAACCCTAGACTCTAAACCGACACCCCAACCCTAAGCCCTGCTCAGGTGATGACCCTGACACTGTCGGCACCAGAGAAGCGGAACACGCTGAGCTTGGAGGTTCCCCAAGCCACCTGCAATTTAGAGGATTATGGGGTTGGGGGGTTTAGGGGTTTATAGGGGTTTAGGGGTTTAGGGGCTTAGGGGTTTAGAGGTGTAGGGGTTCAGGATAGTTCTCCACGAAGTGCGGCTTGGGGGGGGGGGGGGGGGGTGGGCACCACCCACCGCCCCACCTCACCCACCCCTCACCCACCCGCCCCCCCCCCTCACCCACCCCCCCACCCACCCCCCCTCATTCACCCCCCCGCCCTACCCACACCCCCCTCCCCCTCACCCACCCCTTGCATTTTCTCAAGTGATTTCACACTTTGTCAATATTTTCAAGTGAAAATGGTGACAAAATCATTTGCAAAGCAACTCAAATTGTATTCTTTAAGGTTTTTTATCGGTGTAATAGATATTTTAATTGCTTTTAAATGTCTTGAATTAGTTTGGCCTATTTTTCATTGAAGTTCAAGCACTTTTAGTGAATTCGACTTATTATTTCAAATCAATTGCGGGGAGGTGGGGGGGGGGGGGTGGGTGAGGGGGGGGGGGGTGAGCGGGGGGCTGGGTGGGTGGGTGGGTGGGGGGTCGGCACTGTAAATGTCGAAAACGCGCTGAATGGCGAACTCTCGGGTTTAGGGGTTCAGGGGTTTAGGAGTTTAGGGGTTTAGGGTTTAGGGCGTGTAGGGGTTTAGGGTTCAGAGTTTCATAAGGGTTTAGGGGGGTGTACGGTTTGGAGGTACCCTTTTCGCCTGGCTTTCGGGT